ACCACACACACAAAAAGATAAGTAAGTGAGGTAAGGCATGTGTTAAACAGCTTGATTTATCCACTCCCCAATGCATACACAGATCAAAACATCATGTTCCACCATAAATACATACAATTTTAACTTTTCAATTGAAAAATGAAATTAAAAAAACAAAAAAGTTAAAAAACATGTAAAAAGGAAAAGCATATAAGAAGGTTAGAAAAAAGGCACTTTTTCTATTACTTTTTCCCCTTAAGAGTGGGCCTGCTTGGAGAGAGATGCCAAGAACCAGCACTCCTGTTTACTGCACCTGCGCTCCGGCACTGAGCGGCCCACCTCACCACTTTGCCTCACTTCATTCCTACAAAGGCCCCGAGATGTAGATGTTACGGTTATACCCATCTTACAGATTTCAGAATTAGTAAGTATCAGAGCCGGGCTGGTATGGTGCGGCCACCATATTGCATGGTATATGTACCTGACAGTACTAGCTTCTTAAGCATACCCTGAGAATGACCCTATGGTCTAAACAGAACCTGCATTTGGCGTTCTTTTTTTTTTTTTTTTTTTTTGAGAGAGAGAGTCTTGCTCCATCATTCAGGCTGTAGTACAGTGGTGCGATCTCAGCTCACTGCAACCTCTACCTCCCAGATTCAAGCGATTCTCCTGCCTCAGCCTCCCTGTAACTGGTATTACAGGTGCCCATCACCATGCCCAGCTAATTTTATAAAAATATAAAATATTTTTAGTAAAGACAGGGTTTCACCATTTGGCCAGGCCGGTCTCGAACTCCTGACCTCAAGTGATCCGCCTGCCTCAGCCTCCCAAAGTGCTGGGATTACCGGTGTGAGCCACCGTTCCCAGCCTTGTTTGCAGTTCTGAGCTAAGAAATCTGGGAGTGGCCAACCCAGAGATTCATTCCTTAAGAAGAACATCTGAACCCCTGGCTCATCCCGTGGAACACAGGCTGTATAGAGAGGATCCAGGCCTTTTGTTTTGGGCTAAGTGAAAGTTGCCAGGTGGAGGGTGCCAAGTAAAAATGCCATATAACTTGCACGTTTTTTACAAATGGTAGTGATTCTCTGTCCAGCCCACCACCACTGGACCACCCTGTATGTAAGTTCCCTCAATAAACTCCATGTCTTGTTTGCTGACTCCGGGTCTTTTCTTCAGCCCCTCAAGCATGGCGCCGCCCCTACTGAGGTCAGCAGGGTTCCAGCATGACGTGTGTCTAACCCCTGCCATGTCTAGCCCTGTCCCTGCTGCTGCAGGATGCCTCAGACACCGGGGAAGCTCGCGTGGTGCCTCTTGAGCGTGATCAGCACCTTTCATCCCTTCTTCAGCTTCAGTCTCCTCTCTGACAATGGCAGTACTGGACCAGCTCCGCTGGTTTTTAGTAACAGAACCCTTTTCCTAATTGAAATCTTATTCTTTAGATTTAGTCTTTAGACAGGTATAAAAACAAAATAGTAGAACTACTCTGACTGAAGAGTGTGGGGTGTGTGTGTGTGTGTGTGTGTGTGTGTGTGTGTGTAGCGGTGGAAGGCCTTTAGCCCTGCTCGGGGACACCCCTCCCCCTCCTTTCTATGGTGGTATGCTTGGTGTTCTGTGGGATTCAATTTGAAAAACCACTCAAGCAGATTGCCCCAGTGGGGTGGGGCCTCAAGCCCTGATTTTTTTTTTTTTTTTTTTTTTTTTTTTTTTTTAACTAGAGTCTTGTTCTGTTGCCCAGGCTGGAGTACAATGGCACGATCTCACCTCACTGCAACCTCTGATTCCCAGGTTCAAGCCTCAGCCTCCTGGGTAGCTGGGATTACAGGCACCCACCACCATGCCTGACTCATTTTGTATTTTTAGTAGAGATAGGGTTTCTGCATGTTGGCAAGTTGGTCTCGAACTCCCAACCTTAGGTGATCCACCTGCCTCGGCCTCCCAAAGTGCTAGGATTACAGGCATGAGCCACCGTGCCCGGCCGAAGCCCCAATTTAAAGGAAGTCCTATGTGCACCAGGTCTGGGGCAGCCTTTCCTTGGTCCTCTGGGGCCAGGACCTGGCTGTGTACAAACAGGTGCAAGGGCCTGTGGTGCTGCCCAACCTCTGGGCGGGTCTTTGACCCTCTATGGGCCAATTCCTCCATCTGTGAGATGCATCGGGGTCTAGAGGCAGTGCCTACAAGGAAGAGGCACTGGGGGCTGGGAGGCCTGCAGCACCTCAGGACTCACAGAGGCTGCTGTGGAGACACAGAGTCCCAGGGGAATGGGGGCCTCCTGGCTGGGCAATCCCGACAGACCAGCCCGAAGTCCTGGGTTTTAAGGACCATCACCACCTCACACTCCTGTCCCTCATCCCTGACCATTCTCCCAAAGAAGTATATGGAAGTTAATGACTGGGAGACAGTGGACATCACAGGCTTACAGACTCTTAGCCAAAATTGCAACCATTCAGAAAAGTGGATTTGGGGAGTGATGGACCATTCGAGGCATAGACTTTTACAATAATGTAAGTAAGTATTTGAGAAGCTCTATTAGGAACACAGGATTTTAAAACCATGTAATTTAGAAATCCCAAACTCTCAGATTCCCCATCAGTGGCCCTCGTGGGCCAGGCCAGCCAGCATTACTGCAAGCAGACCCGGCCAAGACAGCCTCAGGGAGGCGGAGGAACAATTCCTCCCACATCAATATTTATTACCTGAGAGCTACTGGAAGCAGATCATCATGTTCTCAGCCCTTGTTTCTTTTTAAAGAAACTCTCACCCCCTTCCTTCCCCACTCCCCATCCCCAGTGTGCTGACAGAATGAATCTAGACAGCCAGACAGGTTCACAGCTGGGGAGCTGGGGTTTCAAAGCATCATAGAGACACAGCTCTTAAAATTCGAGTCTCTGAATCATAGCAGCTCTGACTCAAGGAATCGTGCATTCTCAGAATCTGAGGCGCACAGGATATTGCTCCAGTAACCTAACCTCGGCATCTTAGACAGCAGCACAGAATGGGGAAGTGGCTTGCTGCTCAAGGTCACATGGCTGACATGTGACGGAGAGCAGCACAGTCTCCCACCCCTAAACTTTGCTTTTGTCACCTATTCCACCATGGCTCAACTGGCATTCTTCTCTGTTCACATTTAGGACCCAATTTGGAGATTATCTGTAACCAGCAATATAGCCTCGCTCTCTTTCCTCTAAGATCATCACCCCCACTTCTAAGTTCTAGGAATTTCATCTTAACCAAACTTTGGCCTGAGCTAGGCAGAATCAGAAAGGCCCATCTGTGGTTCCAAACTGTCTTCTTCCCCTGAAACTGCTCATTCCCCGGCAGCTGCCTCCCCCTGCCTCTGAGCCAGCTGTACCCAATCCCAGCATCAGCCCAAATTATCACTGTCTTGGGGACATCTTATAGCAGGGCAGCTCTGTGCAGTCCCCCGCCTGGGTAGCTCCCAGATGCACCCCTATCCCCTCACTGCCGATGCACGGCGTCCACCTGGCCTGGAGCACCGTCAGAGCTGTCTCATTTCTCTCCCCGTTCCCACCCTCTCCAAACATATTCAAATGCATCAACCTGCCACAGAAATGCTCTTGTGGCAAAAATATGCAACAGAATTTTTATAAACTGTCCCTTTGAAATTAGAATTACTTAGCAACAAGTTACTTAATTTACAATTGTCTGTGATTTCTCAACAGCCACCTGCTATACTTGAGAAAAAGGAAATCTAATGCACATATTTTCAGAATATAATGAAATGCGTATGAGTGTTAAAGAAAACTTAGTGAACCTGGCATTACTTGCGTGTAGTTAAACTTTTAGGCCTGGTGCAGTGGCTCACACCTATAATCCTAGCACTTTGGGAAGCCGAGGAAGGCAGGTCACCTGAGGTCAGGGATTCGAGACCAGCTTGGCCAACATGGTAAAATACTTTCTCTACTAAAAATACAAAATTAGCCAGGCCTGGTGGCGCACGCCTGTAATCCCAGCTTCTTGGGAGGCTGAGGCGGGAGAATCACTTGCACCTGGGAGTTGGAGACAGTGGCCGCTGTACTCTAGCCTGGGCAATAGCGTGAGACTCCATCCCAAAAAATAAAAATAAATAAATAAATAAACGTTTAAAATTGTTTCTATGTTGTCGTTTTCTTTATAGTTTAAAGCCAGTTTGTTGTTTTTCAGGCTTCGTGTTTTTGTGGATATCTGGAAAACTTGGAGGTCCCGGGCCTGGAATGGTCTGTGCTGCCCAGTGGCTCACATGATCCTGTACTCTCCTACCAGCTTTGTGGCCCTGGGCAAATCGCTCCACTGGCTGGACCTCCATGTCCTCTTCTAAGGAAAGACCCACCTGCCCCAAGAGCGGAGAAGGGGGATTCTAGATACCACTGGAGCATCAGACCGGTTATGACTTGTCAGTGAGTCTGTGTCCTCCCCAGATTGTGCGTGCTGGAAGGGTGTAGGCCATGGACTGAAATTCAGGTCCAGGCTGGAGCCTGCACTCCGTGCATGTGTGTCCCCTTCACTGTCCCCCAAAGGGCCAGGTTTATTTCTACAGCCAAATCCTTCACCCAGGGTGTTTCTGTGCCTAGAATCTCTGTTCCTCTCTCCTTTCTGTGCTTCCACATATCCTTCAAAGTCCAGCTGAAATCCTTCCTCTTCAGGGAAGTCTTCCCAGATTGTCCCACCCCAATTCTTAACATTCCTATGGAAGGTTCAGAATACAAAAACTTAAATGATAAGCACAGAGGCCATATTGTAATGGTTAGCATGACGGGCATGGGCTGAGAAAGGTGCGGGTTCTCATCCCAGCACTGCCCTTGCTGGCTCTGTGATCTTGGGTAAGTCACTTTCCAACACTGGCTCTGGGTCTCCTCAGCTGTGGAGAAGGCAGGTGACATCATTGTGCAAGGCTGTTGGAAAGATTCGATGGAGCCTGGGCAGGAAGTACAATGTGCAGTGGGGATGAAGTGTAATGCTACAAAGGAGAATGAGTGGGTGGGGCTGCAGCCTGCACCCAGACAGGTGACGTGGAGGGGGCTTACCTTTCTGGCAGGTGAGTCTGTGACTGCTAAGACCTTTCGCCGGAACTGAAGCTCATGCTTTTCCTTGGGCATTTCCTTGGGGAAGAAGAAGTAGGGGATGGCAGCCAGGGCCACTGTGCCGGCAGCGATGAGGAAGCCCAGCCACCAGGCACCCACCCATCGGGGGTCCTTTATGGTCAGGCTGATACCACCTGGAAGAGAAGAGCATAGTGATGTTAGGGTCAGGATGATGGGCTGCCACTTCTAAGCCACCATCCTGGGACTGGCCTCTGAGACATTAGGTGGGCCAGGCTGGGAGTCAGGAGACCTGAGTTCCAATCTCTGCTCTGCCAGGTGTGTCCTGTGTGACCCTGGGCAAGTCACTGGCCCTTTCTGAGTCTTGGCTTCTTCAACTACTAAGGCAGTGTAGTGCAGTGGTCAAGGCCATGGACACTGGTGGTGGACTGCTGGGTCTGAATTCCATTACTAACTCATAGCCTTGGGCAAGCTACTTAACCTCTTGGTGCCTCAGTTTTTGTCCTTTGTGAAATACAGATATTAGTAGCTCCCAAATCATAGGGTTGTTGTGAGCATTACAGAAATTCATAGATGTGGCCGGGCGCAGTGGCGCATGCCTACAGTCCCAGCTACTCAAGAGGCTGAGGCTGGAGGATCACTTGAGTCCAGGAGTTCTGGGCTGTAGTGCGCTATGCCAATCGGGTGTCCACACTAAGTCCGGCATCAATATGGTGACCTCCCAGAAGCGAGGGACCATTAGGTTGCCTAAGGAGGGGTGAACTGGCCCAGGTCAAAAACGGAGCAGGTTGAAACTCCCATGCTGATCAGTAGTGGGATCGCGCCTGTGAACAGCCACTGCACTCCAGCCTGGGCAACATAGCAAGGCCCTGACTCTTAAAAAAAAAGAAATTTAAAAAGTAAATAAATAAATATTTAAAAAAATAAATTCATAGATGTGAAGCACTTAAAAGAGTATGTGCCTTGTGGGTACCTGCTCCTCCTCCTCCTCCTCTTCCTCTTTCTCATTACTATTGTGATTATTATTCTTAAATGATTGGTTAGGATTACAGTTGTGTTTCTCAGACCTGCATGATGATTAATATCCCCAGGGATATTTGTCAAAAATACTTGGCCTTACCAAAGACCCACTTAGAATGATCACAGAGGGGTGGGAAGGTGACCAAGGAATCTGTACCTTTAACAAGTTTCCTAGATGATTTTGAGCCCCAACTAAGTTTAATTAGGACTAGATTATCCCAGATGTACCTCCTGGCTAGAACACACAAAGCTCCCGTCATACTTCTTAACCCCAAGGCTGAGTTGCGTACATTCTCCTTCAGTCTCCACAGCATCCGAAAATGCTTCATAAAAATACAAATAAGCTGGGTGCAGTGGCTCAAGCCTGTATCCCAGTACTTTGGGAGGCTGAGGTGGAAGGATCATTTGAGGCCAGGAGTTCAAGACCACCCTGAGCAACATAGCGAGGCCCTGCCTCTACAAATAAATTAAAAAGTTAGCCAGGTGTGATAGTGCAAACCTGTAGTCTCAGCCACTCGGGAGGCTGAGGCGGGAAGATTGCTTGAGCCCAGGCATCCAAGGCTGCAGGGAGCTAGGACTGTGCCACTGCGTGAGGGGCAGAGTGAGATCCTAACTCAAAACAAAAACAAGAAAAACCAAGTGATCCTTGATATGCCAATCCCACATGCAGAGCCGGTTCCTCCCAGCTGGGGACCAGAGGACACAGTTGGCACTTAGCAAATGTACCTGTGAAGCCAGGGATGGGTTTGGCTTTCGCACCGATTAGACTTGATCGTCTCCTTACTTGCTATCTCCCCCGCCTCCGTGTCAGGCTGGTGAGAGCTCACACCTGCCCCTCTCCAACTCCTCCGCTTCTCTCATATCAGTCTGTGCCTGCAGCTGGCATGATCCGCCCACCCTGTGAAATCCCCCATGGAGAAGGGATTTTCAAGGTGGCAGGCTGGTCCACAGAAATGTCACATCTGCCTGTGGAGATGCCCTGTCTGCCAGGACAATGTCAACAGAGTCAGAAAACACACCCCCTTGCGGGGAGCTGAGGTGTGTCTGGGAAATCTAGGGAACTCCTGACTCCCAGGGCTTCTTTCAGGGGAGGACGGTGTTCCAGCCAGAGCCCACACTCCAGACCCAGCCTTCCAGAAGGAAAGGGGGAAGGGCGGGCTGTCCCTACTGGCTGCTGTCCAGAGCCACCCAGACCTGTTCTGGCTGGAGGCAGGGGAACAAGAAGCAGCATCTGCCTGTTCATTCAGCCACACACATGTCACCTGAGGCTCCCAGGATTGGCAGAAAGTCTGCAGGTGAGAACGGCAGGAGGCAGGAGGCACATCTGGAGCTGCTTGGTGTGACAAGCTGGGAGCTGGGATGCCTCAGTGACACGCTCTAACAGGCATACCCTCTGGCTCTCCAAGGGCTCCAGAGCCCCAGAAACCCCAACACCCCTCCCTCCTGGCCACCTTCAGACCAAGCGTGAGTTCCACTCCTTGGCCCACTCTGACCACTGCCTGGACCAGAGACCACTGTTTCCCAGATGGTGCCCTGGCAGTTTCCTAGACTCTGAGCTGGTCAGAACTAGAAGGGTTCTTAGAGGTCACAGTAAATATCCCACCTGAGAGAGGCCCAGGGTAATACAGAGTCCCCAAGTCCTGCTCCAAAATTCTCTCCAGGGTGCAGTGTCCTCTCTGCTTAACTCAAGTCTTGTTTCCCGCTAAAGATGGGCGCTCCCTACCGGTCTGGAGAGTACACTCTTCCACCTGCCCACATGTGAGCAGAGGGCTGAGGGCCTGGGGGAGGTGGGGTATGGAACAGGGCGAAGACTCCTAGTAATAGTAGTGATGGCAACCACGGCTCCTTATCTGATGGCACTTTATAGCTTCTCTCTGCCATCTCACTGGACTCTGATTGCAGCTTTGGGTGACAGACAGGACAGAGATTATCTCACAGATGAGAAAGCTGAGATTCAGAGAAGCTAAGAGGCTTGCCCAAGGTCAGTGGTGCTGCTAGGATTGAACCAAGGTCTCTGGACTCGGTGTCTCCCATGAGAGTGGCAGTCAGTTAGCTAGTATCTAGCAAACGTGTGCTCTTGAGACTCACCTTCCGGCATCCGGTTAATGTCCACATAAAGGCGCAGCATGAGGCTGCCCAGCCCAAAGGCCAGGCCTGGCCCCATCATGGTCACTGCAAACAGGATCCCTACAACACAAAGCTGGGGTTAGGACCCTCTGGCACTGGCTTCCCTCCACAAACTAGTGCCTGCCCAGTCTGTCTGATGGGCAAGAACACCCTGTCTCACCTGGTCAGGCATGGGGAACTCTCCGGGGCTTCCCTGGACCTTTACTGGCCAGATGGGGAAGGGGGCAGGGACTCCATCTCCAGCCCCAACCCTAGGTCTCTCTTCCTCCTAGCTGAGCCTGGCCTGACCCTCAGAGGTCAAGGGATGGGACCAGTTCTCACCGAGGTAGAGGGGCGAGTTGCTGTTGTGGGCAAAGTCATCGATGTAGGAGATGCCAAAGGGCTGAATGGGCACCCCGCCCACGCCCAGCAGGGTCTGTGCCACGAACATGATCCCCACCAAACCCAGATGCTGGGCTTCTGTGGAGCTCGAGCAGTTGGCATTGGAGGGAGCCGGGGCTGAAGCCGAGGCTGTGGGCAGGCACAGGGAAGCCTCGAAGTCCTGTGGCGTATTCTCTGAGAGATGACAATGACACATATTACGATAGCTAAGACTTCAATAGGGCTCACCCAGGGAAGGTACTGTTCTAAGCACTGCATATAGAAATCATTCGAGACCTACAACAAACCTCAGGGGTGAGTGCTCTTATTATGCCTGTTTCACAGGTGAGGAGACTGATACTCAGACAGCAACTAGTAAGGGGCCAGGGCCAGCACTGGAATCCAGGAGGTCTGGCTTCAGAGTCAATACTCTTAAACTGCCCTCTGCCACCTTTCTGAGCAGAGGCATTTGCAAGTGCTACAGCAATGACGGCCCCTGGGTGGGGCAGGGTGGTCAAAGGTGGTGAAGTTTGAACTGAGTCTGGAAGAATAAACACAATTTTCCAGAAAGAGAAGGAGGGGAGGGGTGTTCCAGGGAGAGGTCACAGTACAGGGCAAAACCCAGGGACTTGAAAGGGCACCGTGCTGGGAGAATCAGAAGCTCAGAATGGCTAGACCATAAAGCGTGAAGGGAAGGCCAGGGCTGAGGGCAGGGTGGGGCAGCTGGGGCTGGATGGTGGAGGGCTCTGGGGCCCTTGGCATTCACTTTGGGGAGGGTTCCGTGTCAGCTTGGGACACAGATGAAAGAGTACAGAAAAGAATTTCTTAATTTAGAGCCCTACATTTGTTCCTGGAGCTCACTAATATTTGGTGTGCAAACTTGAGGAGACCCTCACTCTATTATTATCCCCAATGTGGCTGTAGAAGCAGCCTTCCCTCTGCAGCCCTCCATTTATAGAGCTGGGACTCTGAGCTGTGTCAACCCAGTCCGGAGAGCCACTCCCTTGGGCTTCAAAGAGCCATGTGAACCAAGGTCAAGAACCTGAAAGAAGCCTTCCATGGAGGCTGCTTTGGACTTGCTGTGTGACTTTGACAGAGGCCCTTACCCACTCTGGGTCTTGGTTTCTTTCATCTTTCATGTGAAAGAAAGAACAAAGTTCTCCAGATAAGGAATTCAGAAGCAGAATCAGTAATTCAGCAGTTCAGAGCAGCAGCTAAGGCTGGACTACCTGGGTGTGTCCTTGGGGCAGTTCCTCCCCTCTCTGAGCCTTGGTTTCCTCGCTTGTGAGGAAGTAATGATAACCCCTGCCTCCCGACACCGTGAACATTAAGAGTGGTGGGTGGTGAGTGTGCCCGGGCATGGGGCCTGCTAGACGTTAGATGCAACAATTATGACAGAGGTTGTGTCTGCCTTCCCCATCCCTGTGTCCCCAGTGCCCGCAGAGGGCCTGGCACAGAACACAGCATCATCAATATTGGATAAAGAATGAGACAATGGAATAGCCTTGAGCATCAGATCAGGAGGGGGACTTGGAGATCCCTGAGTCTCTCCCACTCTTTGGGCTGATGTAAAGATGGGGGCTCAGACAGGAGAAGGGCTTTGCTTGAAGATTCAGGGGCACCTATTGCAGAGGGGGGTTGTATGGTAGTGAGGATGAAGAACATTTGTGACCGTGCACAGGAAAAGCTCTGTAAGGTGAAAATTCTGTACAAAGAAACGTCAGGAAGTATTAGTTTTTGGTATTCCAAGGAGTTCTCTTGACAAATCACGCAGGCCTGGAGAACCGCTCTGCATTCTTCATGCACGCGCTGGGCTTTCCCACTTCCCTGCTTCTGCACCATGCCCTCCCCTCCACCTGCAGCTCCCACCTCTCTCTAAGCTGTAGCTCGAGTGCCACCTCCTCCAGCCCCTCCAGCTGCCAGGGTCCTTCCCTACTTTGGGGAAGTAGGGAATAGGAAGTACTTCCCTATTCGGGGCTCTAATGGCTCCCCCGGCCACCTCCTAAGTCGCTGGGTGCTCTACCTTGTAGCAGAGTTGCCTGTGCTCACTGCACCCCACTGGGTCATGTCTGCTTCATTTTTCCTCCCCTCTCCCTGGCCTCTGGTCTGGTACAGAGTGGGACTTCAGGGATGTGAGCTGGCGGGAGGGTGAGGGAGGAAGGCTGCTCTCTGACAGTCCTACCCTGGGAAGCCTTCTTCCACGCCAGGCCGGGGTGTGGGCTCCTCCCCCGGCCCCGTGCCTCCCTCCTCACACAACTGAAACACTGTCTCCTCTCCCAGACTGGAAGCTCCTTAGAGTACAAAGGACTGATTCCCCGGAGAGGCTCAGGCATGAAGTAGGCAGCATTAAGAGTTTGTTGGGTATCCCACTGAATGGATGAATAGGTAAACGGATGAGTGGGTGGATGGATCGATGGGTAGATAGATGTTAGATGAATGGATGGATGGGTGGGTGAGTGGGTAGGAGAGGGAACGAATAGAGAGTGATCAGGTTGTTAGGGTCATTCTCTGAGGCAGGCATCCATTTGTCAAGTAGGCTCTCAACAAAATCCCATGGGGCTGAACACGGCTTCATCATTCCTGTCCAGAATTCTTTCATTTTTTAAATTTATTCATTCGCTCATTCATTCTTTCTTTTGCCAATATCTTTTGTGAGGATTAAATGCCTGACTACACACTGAGTGCTTAGAGCAGTGTCTGGTGCATAGTAAGTAGTGTATGACACTATTATTATTACACAGGCAATTCCTGAGGGTCGACTGAATGCCAGGCCCTCAAAGTAGGCTGCGTTGTAAATTCACTCCCACCTAAAACCCACAGTGACATACGAGCAGGCCCTCACTGCTCTGTGCTGGGCCTACTTCCTACCCCACTCCCCAGGCCTGCCAGAGACCCACTGGGGCTGGGGCCTGGGGAGACGGCTGGGGTTGGGGACCCAGGATGCTGGGGTGCATCCTGCCCGATGAAGGCGCCTGTGGGTGGGCCCTGGCACAGGGCAATGCAGGGGCTCATGTCCACTCTTGCCCAGCCCCTGCTGCTCTTACCGGGGCTGGTGCTGTCGTAGCGGTACGGCTCGGAGATGAAGTGCGGGAGAGTCATGAGCAGGCCCGCCAGGGACACAAGGATGGCCCCACAGCCAATCAATCGGGGCCGGTGCACCCGGCTGCCAAAATAGCTCACAAACACAATCAAGGCTGTGTTCCCCACCTGCAAAGGGACGAGGTGACCCATTAAAGTGGAGCAGTGCCCAGGGCTGGGGGCCTGCACCATCCTTGTCTCTATTTTCAACTTCAGTATGCCCATCTGAATAATGGACTGAATAAAAATCATCTGGGTCCCTCCCCTAGGTCCTCCTTGGAAGGGCCACACTGCCCCCTTAGGGGAGAGAAATGAGGGCAGAGTGGAGAAAACTAGGAGTTCAATTCTATTTTTGAACACAGATTGGACCCCATGTTAGAATATGGAGGAGGATGGGCCATTGAATGAAGGGATCTCGAGTTTCAGGAATGTCATAAACGAGAAAAGCAAAGTCTAAAGCCAGATCAAGGCTTGGATTTTTTTATTTTTTAGACGGAGTTTCGCTCTTGTTTCCCAGGTGGGAGTGCAATGGCGTGATCTCGGCTCACTGCAACCTCCGCCTCCCGGGTTTGAGCAATTCTCCTGCCTCAGCCTCCCAAGTAGCTGAGATTACAGACATGCACCACCATGCTTGGCTAATTTTTGCATTTTTAGTAGAGACGGGATTTCATCATGTTGGCCAGGCTGGTCTGGAACTCCTGACCTCCTGTGATCCACCCACCTCAGTCTCCCAAAGTGCTGGGATTAAAGGTGTGAGACACCACACCTGGCCTAAGGCTTGAAATTTTGGCCTTAGGAGCACAATCCTGGGATGTGAGTTCTGGAGGGGACTTTAGAGCTGGCAGGGCAGGGGCAGTCTCTGCCACCATGAGCAGGGGGTGCATTGGCTCTGCTGCTTATTGGTTGGTGACCATGGGTGAGCCCCAGCCACTCCTCACTGGGGGAATGGGGCAGTATCAGCGGGGGAGCCCAGGGATGGTTGACCCTGGAAAGGACAGCCACACTCCACAGTGGCTGTATCCATAGATAGGGCCCTGAGGCCCAGAGACAGGGAGTGACTTGCCCAAGGTCCCAGAGCAAGGTCAGGTCAGGACTTTCCCCTCTCACCTCGGAATGGGGTGCTGAGGAGGATATGGGGACATTGCAGCTGGACGGCCTTGTTTTGTGAGGAATATAACACATTACCCAGCAGGGAGGATTCCATGAGAATCTGCCCAGGGAAGAAAAATGACTTTCTTCAGGGTAAAAACATCTGGTGGGGGAAGGACTGAAGGACTGGGGCACAGCTGGACTCTGATCTCCAAATCCACCCAAAGCAGTTCATCTGCTCCTCCCTGCTTGGCTGCGGGCCCCACAGGCCTGTGAAGGACAGACACTCTGTGCCGTGGTATCCCTCCCCACACTGCCCCAAGGCCCAGAGGTTCTGCTCTTGATGCTATTTAAGTCTCTACCCCTACTGCTGAAGTGGCTGTCTCTGATTCCTTCCTGGGACAGGCAATAGCTGGGTGCCTGAAAAGGCAAAGGATGCAAAGGGAGAGCAGGTAGATATGGGGACCCTGGCTAGCTCTGAAATATCCCAGGACCCGATCCAGTAGAGATTCCCAAGGGGAGACGGCCAGGTCCAGGTCCTAGAAGACAGCTGCAAGTGCTCGTGGGTTTCAGGCAAGCGCTGGGACAGGGGTTGCCTGAGGACACTGGGAGGGGAAGGCCTTAAGGTGGGTAGTGGGAGGGGAGGCTGGTGGAAGGTGGGGGGCAAGTCTCCCTCACTGTCTACCCCTGTGGCTGGGTGGGGCCTGTACCTCGTTGAAGGAAGCCAGCAGCCCAGACGTCCGGCTGGAGAGGCCGAAGCGCTTCTCCACTGTGGAAATGGAGCTCTTGAGGTATCCAGAGATCATGAGTTGCGCCAGCTGCAGCACGCTGTGGCACAGGACGAACAGCTGTGGGGGGACCCAGAGGCAGGCAGAGGAGGGCGGCGCAGGGGGAGGCAAAGAAGGGGAGGGAGGCAGAGAGCAGCAAGGAATAGAGATGGGGAAACAGAGTCACGGAAAGAGACAGAGGGTTGGGAGAGTGACCAACAGGAGAAGAGAAACAGAGAGACCAAAGGAGACAGACAGAGGAGGAGGGAGGGGATAGAGAGAGAGAAAGGGAAGAAAGGCCAGAGGAGGTGGGGCAGAGAGAGGTGGTTACTGGTGTAGCTCACAGCTTGTCACACAGGACTAAAAACTAGAAAAGCTGTCCTGGGTGCCCTCTGGGAGCCTGGGGAATACTGAAGAGCCACCAGATCAAGAGTAGGGTCTTCCTGTGGCCAGGAATGGTGGGAGCCCCTCTGACTCTCAGCCCCGCTGGCTGGGCTCGACTTTCCTCCCTGTTGCACCATCCTGCCCCTTCTCAGGGAAGCTATCCCACATTCACCCAGATCCTTCTTCAGCCCACCCCACTAGTCCTCTCCCAGAGCGGCACTGTGAGGCCACCTGCACACACCGAACCCCACCCCAAACATCCCAGCCTGACTGGAATCTTCTCCTTTAAACTCTAAGAGAATTCCTAAGGGAAGAAAAACCTTCAAAGGATTAAAAAAATAGAGTATTTATGCCAGAGCTTAATATACTCACTCTGTTCTGAATCTCAGTTTCCTCATCTGTACAATGAGGACAACAGCCCCCGAGTTCCCAGGGATAATGTGAGAACTAAATAAGATCAGGTGTGAGTGGAACCTGGTACTCAGGGCCTGGTACCCAGTGAGGTCCAGTGGATGTTGGATGTTCACAGCTGCCCTTGGTGGAGCCAGGACTGTCAGTATTCACATAGGATTAGGATCCCCAGGGCACTTCTCTCTCTGGAAAGGTGGGAAACAAGGGGCCTCATCCTGCACTCCAATAACAGCACCCCCTTTCCTCTCTGGGAGGAGAGAACATGAACTGGCTACCTTCCATGTGCCCGAATCCCAGCTGAGGGCTTTCATAGACCATCCCTTTTATCCTCACAACCACCCATTTTATAGATGAGGAAACTGAGGCTCAGAGAAAGGCTTGCTTGGCATTACACAGCCAGTACTTGGCAGAATCTGCTCTTCTGGACTTGGAGGCCCCTGCCAGGCCCTGAGAGGTACCTTGATGCTGTGGAACATGCTTGGCTGCACGTCCTGAGGGTCTGGGCTGGCTTTGCCTCCAGGTGCGTTTTCTGTGCCCATGGTGGCCTTGGTTTCCTTGTCTGGTACCTGGGGTCCCTCACTCGCTGGCCCTAAGGGACAGACAACCAGGAAAGGAGAATAGATAGAATCTCAGAGAATGGCCCTAAACTGATCAGATAGCCCTAGACTTCAGAACCAAGGTCTTTCAGGAGGAATGGGCCATGGTGGTTAATGAGAATCGGAGGATCAAATCACCTTCAGCCTTCCTCATTCTGAGGACACAGCGCTGGAAGGGACTTTCCTAAAACGGTGTGTGTCCTTGTGCTTTTACTGGCCCGATACCTACTGGGACCACCTATTTCACACTTTACTCTGCTCCCAGCAAAACTTCCCTTTTAGGGAGAAGCTGCTGACCTCTTCACACAACAAACCTGCAGGCAATGGTCCCCGCAGTAGGGTGAGCCATGCAGACTCTCAGTCTGCCTTGGGTTATGAGATAGCCCGTGCTCCTGGAGGCTGAGTCTGTCTGGCTCGGTCTAGGATCAGAAGTCTGGGGCCAGGTGCAGGGTCAACCTAGGTCCATAGTCAGGGAATAAAGGATTTTCCGGGGTATATTGGAGTAGATTCCAACCCTTTCACAGGGAATCCCTGTGCATGTCATCACAGAGCTAACCAGCCCAATCCCCAAATCACACCATCAGACATGTTGCTGGTCAGGGCAGAAAGGGGCCTCCGAGCTCATCCCTTTTAACACTGGGTGGTAACTGATGAGGCAGAGCTGTCTTGGACCCTTGGCCTCCTTTATGCATGTTGGCTTTCCTCAGATGGTAACTATGGTAACTGTCAGTATCCCATTCACTGCAATGAGAGGAAAGCTGAGCCCCTTCAGAGGCGTCTCCCAGGGTCTCCTGAGCTCACTCTCAGTGGGGAGCCTGGAAGTCCAACCTTGAGACTCTACCCCTCCGTTTAGTCTGAAACCATCTGCTCCTGCTGGCAGCCCAGGCCTCCTTGGCCTGCCTCCTCTCCTGTGGCTCCACTTCCCACCGGAAGCCTCGTTGTTTCACGTCCCTCTCACCATCTGCAGGAGTTTCCTCTCACTCCGCATTCTCTTTCTGGAGGCTGGACTTTGATTTCAGGTTCCCTCTGACCTGGGGGACCCTCACTATATCTCCAGGCCTGAAAGACACACTCAGAGATGGGCTACAGACGCCCTGAACCACCACAGGTGAAATTTTTGTGCTCCTCTTACAAGGTACCTGGGAGCCTGAGGATTTTTTAAATTGAGATGTAATTCATAGCCATAAAATCCACCCTTTTAAAAGTGCACAATCCAGTGGGTTTTCGTACATTTACAAAGCTGTACAACTATCTCCACTATCTAATTCCAGAATATTTTCATCCCCCCAATGCAAAGTCCCCTACCCATCTGCAGTCACCTCCATTCCTCCTTCTCCCCTGGCAAACATTCATCTACGTTTTGCCTCTATGGATTTGCCTATTCTGAACATTTCATATAAATGAAGTCACACAATATGTGGCCTTTTTTGATTGGCTTCTTTCACTTAGCATAATGTTTGCAAGTTTCAGGTATTAGAAACATTCATGTACGAATTTTTATGTAGACATACATTTTCAGTTCTCTTGGATGTACACCTAGGAGCAGAATTGCTGGGTCATACGTTCATATAAAATAATTCTATGTTTAACTATGTGAGGAACTGCCAAACCATTTTCCACAGTGGCAGCACCATTTTACACTCCCTCCAGCAAGGTTCCAATTTCCCTTCATCTTTGCTCATGCTTTGATTGTCTGTCTTTTCGATTACAGCCATCTTCATAGGGTAGATGCGGTATCTCGGTGTGGTTTTGGTCTGCATTTCCCTAATGACTAATGATGTTGAGCGTCTTTCCATGTGCTTATTGGCCATTTGTATATCTTGCTTTGGAGAAATGTCCATAAAACAGGTGGAGGAATTTGGCTGAGGAAATGGAAGTGCGTGTGGCTGGGGAGGAGTCCCTCTGAGAGGCATAAACACTCAGAGGAAGCAGGGAGCTATTGAAACAAAGCTGGCATCTGACAGGAGGAGATGGGAAATTGGCCTAAGGAAGGGGGGCGTCATGGGACATTCTGTGGGAGTCACTTTAAAGGCAAAGAGGAAGTAAGGAGGTTCAAAGCAAAGGCTCCCAGAGGAGGCAGAGGGGACCATTTCTGAGCCTCAGCCCCCTCATCAGCGGCAGTGGGTTACCTGCTGTCACCCGGGCTCCGTGCCACAGGCTTTCCGTGCACTGGCCTGTGAACCTTCTCCACAGCTCTGTCCTTTTGGTGTCTTATTATCTGTGCTGCTGATAAGGACACCCAGGCTCAGCGGAACTAGCTTTGCTGGTTAGCATTGGTCCCACGACTCAAGACCAGGTAGGTGTTAAACTCAACTCCGCTCAATGCTCCTCGTACAAGTTTGACAAGGGGAAGAAGCACAGTGCTTTTCTCTGTCTTGGTCCAGCCAAACCTAGCCTGGTCACTTCATAGGTAGCAGTGCCAAGCCACCAAGGGGCCAAGCCAATCGGATGAGAGAGCGGGAGCTTAGGCTGGGAGCAGAAGTCCCTGACCTGGAGCCCCAGCTCTGGAGGAACCCAAGGAATGGATGGGAGAGAGAGGTGGAAGACCTGTGGGCCAGTTCAACACGTGAGGCCCCCAGCTCCAGGCCAGACCCTGAACCCTCCACTTCACTTTCTGGGTATACTGGAGACATCGTCCTGTGCCCCAACCTGTCTAGCCCCAGTTCCAGCCCCCCAATCTCTCACCTGCCCACTCCTGGAGCCTACTCACCTGCCTCAGGTGAGCTCCCACTCCAGCCTCACCTCTGGCTCTCCCTGAAGCTTCAATCTCAGCCCCTTCTGCTACGGCTCAAAGCCTTTCTGGGATTACTTTAGCCTTTAGAGATATGGCTGTTTATAGAGGGCAAAGTCCACAGCCTGAGCCTCTGGACAGGGGAGGGAAGCACTGGCCACGTCCTTCTGGGCTCTGAGAGGAGCACGCGTCATGTACTGGGTGGTCAGTCAGTCACTGAATGGGGCTTGTCAGAAAGGCTGTCCATCGCCTCCAAACCCTTCCTATGTGCTGGGCCTCTGCTGATGGGTGACAGCAAACCCTCGCCTCCTTGACTCAGGGCAGAACTCCCCTTGGAAGGAGGGTCACTTCCAAGGCCGTCTGTCCCCCTCATGTGGAAGGACACTGAGGCCCTGCCCTGTTCCGTGGGGCCTTTGTCAGGGGCCAGCCCTGACAGGAGGAGGGAAAAACTGTGGGGCTGAACCTGGGCTGGGCTGGCAGTGGCCTGTGGGAATGAGGGGACTGGGGGCAGGGAGCCAGGCCCTAGTTTAAAAAATCCAGTCCCTCTCTCCAAGGTGGACAGCTAGGCTTTGGGGTCCCAGGTAGGCCAGGTGGCTCCACGCGCTAGGGACCCACAGCCCAAGCTGGCTGGCAGTGGGTCTGTGTGCCCGCCTGTCGGTCGGTAACTTGGCTGGTCACTCATATAGGCATACCATGTCCACCTGCTGGCAAGCCAGCCAGCTACTATCTTTCAGAACTGTCTGTTTGGGCTGTCAGTCAGCCACCTGCCTGCAGCTGCCTTAAAAGGCAGACAGACAAGTTCCTGAAAGTCTGTCAGCCAGAGACTCCTGCTTCAAGGCTGCCCTTCATGGGCATAGTAAGCATTCGTCACACCACCTGAGTCTGGGTGATGAGGAACAAAATTTCAGAGACCAGCCTGACTGCAAGGACCACCTTCCTTTACCTGTTCTGTTCGGGAAAGGCCTAGGATTCTGCCTCCTTTGGCCACCTCCCAGCTGCAAAGGGCAGGTCTCAGGGAAATGGGAGGCTAAGAACAGGCTTTCAGGCCTCAGACATGGGTTGGAATCCCAGCTGTGCTACAAGCCCACTGTGTGAGCCTGGGCATATCCCTTGATCTTTCTGAGCCTCAGTTTCCCCATTTGTAAGGTGACGATAACAGCATCTACTGATGGAATTCTGGACACACTACTCCTCAAATATGGAACCTTGGCCACATTTGAGAAAACAGTAGAAGCAGGTCCTAAAACCTAGGATAGTCATTCCACTCTGACCTTCTCCTGCCTTTCACCCTGAAGCAGGTCATAAGATACTCATTTAAGAGTTACTCTCTTTCTGCCAGGAGATAAGAAACAGCACTAACTTTGAAGACTCAAGGACACAGAGAAGAATCTGAACAAACAGGCCTTGCAAGCTTCCCCCAAGTTTATCACATTAGATCAAACCCCCTGTGCAATACTTCTCAACAACTATGTACTTCTTCATCAAACTTGGCGTAAAAAGTCACAAGTTTTGACATTTTAGGCTAGATGATTAAAAAATAATAAACCAGCCTGGGCAACATGGTGAAACCCCATCTCTACTACAAATGCAAAAAATTAGCCAGGTGTGGTGGTGCATGCCTGTAATCCCAGCTACTCGGGAGGTTGAGGTGAGAGGATCGCTTGGGCCCAGGAGGCACAGGTTGCAGTGAGCCAAGATCCTGCCACTGCATTCCAGCCGGGGTGAAAGAGTAAGACCCTCTCTCAAAAATTAATTAATTAATTAATTAATTAAATTTAAAATAATACAAACTAAAAAATGTAAGAATACATAGGTTTTCCTGTTTCTTTGGGCCTTCCTTTCTGAAGGCTCCTGTGTCATGTAAAACTTAGATTAAATAAATTTGGGCCAGGCATGGTGGCTCATGCCTGTAATTCCAACACTTTGGGAGGCCAAGGCAGGAGAATTATCAAGCCCAAGAATTCCAGACCAGCCTGGGTGACATGGCAAGATCCCATGTCTATGTAAGAATAATAATAATTAAAGTAAATTAAATTTTAAAAAGCCAAATAAATTTGTATGCTTTTCACCTGTTAAGCTGTTTTCTGTTATAGGGACCTCAGCCACCAGCCTAGCAAAGAACGAAGATAGGAAATCTCTTTTCCTCTGTAAGACCTCAAAGAGGTAAGTCCTCTGGGGCAGCTGGCCCAGTGCTTGGCATATAGGTGGCCCTGCCAAGGACCATTGCTCTCCCCTTTCCTGATAAATATTCAAGCACATTCATGGCAATTGGGCCCAGCTGGACCCATCCCCTCCGACACACACCTGGTCTTCCTCCAAGTAAACCCCTTCATCCTGACATTGCCATTTATCCATCCCTGGATCATCTCTCTCCCTGTCTTATTCAAACCCTAACCAATCACAGGGCCCAAGGAACTGGACCCCTTCTCTCCAAGCACACTCACTGGCTAGGAGGTGGGAATACAGGCTTGAAGCCTCCAGCTGCAATGCAGGGGCTGTAATCTCTCCTTCCCAGTGCAGAAAGCATCTACTGAGGATGAAAACCATCTACCCCCACATTCAGCCTGAGTGCTAAAAATCCCAAACTGTACCTTACTGTCTACATTCACATGATGGTGTTTGCTATTTCACTGTCTTCATTAGCAATTTTTTTCCTCTTCCTAGACTGTCCGTCCAAAGCAAATGGTTTGATTGTGCTTTAGATGAATTTCCTGAAAGATGGATCAGCCCTTCAAGGGAAAAGGCTGTGGTCCTCAGATTCTTTGACTCTCTCCCCACAAAATCCTCACCTTACTGTTTCTACTAATCCAAAACCATTGAATTGAGATTCTTACCCATCTTCATCTCCATCTTTGTCTTGAATAGGGGCTGGGTAAAATAAGGCTGAGACCTGCTGGGTTGCATTCCCAAACAGTTAGGCGTTCTAGGTCACAGAATGAGATAGGAGGTCAGCACAAAGTGCAGGCCATAATGATTCTGCTGATAAAATCGCTTGCAGTAGAGAGGCTGGCTAAATCCCACCAATACCAAGATGGTGACGAGAGTGACCTCTGGTCGTCCTCACTGCTACATTCCCACCAGCACCATGACAGTTTACAAATGCAGTGGTAATGTCAGGAAGTTACCTGATTTGGCCTAAAAAGGGGAGGCATGAATAATCCACCCTTTGTTTAGCACATCAAGAAATAACCATAAAAATGGGCAACCAGCAGCCCTTGGGAATGCTCTGCCTATGGAGTAGCCATTTTTTATTCCTTTACTTTCCTAATAAACTTGCTTTTACTTTACAGATCACTCTGAATTCTTTCTTGCACGAGATCCAAGAGCCCTCTCTTGGGCATCAAGATCCAGACCCCTTTCTGGTAACACCAGCAGCAGATGCTAGGCAATCCATTCCTCAAGACAATGGCAGACAACTCCCAGAGGTGTTGGGGTGGCAGGCTGCCAGTCTCAAGGCCATGAACCCCGACCTTGGGCCCTTCCTACCTCCTAAGTTGCCTGGGGTTCCCTGGGCCTATAGATCCCCTGCCAAGCTCCTGCAGCCCAGCTTGTCTCATCTGTCCCTCCATAAAACTCCCCTCCCAGGCCGGTTTCTGCTGGCCACTGTCTTGCATTGCTTGTGTCTCCCGCTTTTCTGCCTGATTAGGCAATAAACTCCCCCAGGGCAGAGGTCATCCTGTTCTCCTCCAGTCCTGGTGGATCATGTTAGTTCCCTGCTGAAGCCCTCTGGGTGAGAAGACTTCGGATTCAAATATTTGTTTTGTCATATTGTAGCTGTGGGACCTAGGACCGCTGATTTAGCCTCTCTAAGCCTGTTTTCCTCTGCAAGTGAGTGAGCAGTGTCTATCTCCCAGTGTTTTTGTTAGGATTAAAGGAAAATGTCCTATGCCTGGTATACTGTGGTGCTCAACAATGGTTAGCCCCCCCAACTCCCAGCTCCATCTGCAAACCGTGAGTGCAGGCTCAGCCCCAAGCAGATCAAGGCTACTGGAAGCCACTCCCATCCCATGTACCCACTCCTAGTGAGCAGTATTCCCTGGATCAAATAGATGCCTGGTATACTGTGGTGCTCAACAATGGTTAGCCCCCCCAACTCCCAGCTCCATCTGCAAACCGTGAGTGCAGGCTCAGCCCCAAGCAGATCAAGGCTACTGGAAGCCACTCCCATCCCATGTACCCACTCCTAGTGAGCAGTATTCCCTGGATCAAATAGATTCTTGCCGTTCCCTAAACATTCTTTTCCACCTCGAAGGCTTTGTACAAGCTGTACTCTGAGCCTGAAGTGTCCTTCCTCCCCAGCAAACCACTTGTCTTTCAAGGCCTAGCCCTGCTGAAGAACAAGACTGTTGGCCGGGAGCAGTGGCTAACACCTGTAATCTCAGCACTTTGGGAGGCTGAGGCAGGTGGATCACCTGAGGTCAGGAGCTCAAAACCAGCCTGGCCAACATGGTGAAACACCGTCTCTACTAAAAATACCAAAAGTAGCCGGGCATGGTGGCAGGTTCCTGTAATCCCAGCTATTCAGGAGGCTGAGGTATGAGAATCACTGGAGCCTGGGAGGCTGAGGGTGTTTTGTGTTTTTTTTTTGAGATGGCGTTTTGCTCTTGTTGCCCAGGCTGGAGTGGGCAACAAGAGTGAAACTCCATCTCAAAAAAAAAACCCACAAAAAACAAGATTGTTGAATTGAACTAAACTAGATGAAGGGGAAGAGAAAGCTGGAACACGGGGGCTGCGGGTGGGGACTGAGGTGGTGCATGTGAGTTGGGATGGGGGCAGCATGGGGGCCCTGAATGCTCCAGTTCCTTGTTTGGCCTGGCCCAGCATCCTGGAGGAGAGAGAGTCAAAGGCAGGAAGGGGGCGTGTCTCCAGGCGTTGGACTTGGCTGTCATATTTGGGAAACCTCGCAGCAGGATTTTGGGTGGTCTGTTGGAAAGACAATAATAGTATGCTTGAGGTACAGCTTTGTGAGATTCCAGCTGTTGTTTCTTGAAGGAATCTGGCAGGGTCGTGGAAGGGCCAGGCAAACATTCTGGTGGTTTCCCAGCTCGGCCAGGGACCCTGAGCTGGGACTTTCTGTTCCCAGTTGTAACCTTGGCTACCCCATCTAGACCCAGGATGACCTAAAAAATAGTAATCAGGGCTTGGAGGTAGGGTGAGCCCTGAGCCCACGGGGACCCAGGCCCGTCTCCCTAGGCCTAAAACAAGGTGTCAGAGGCTCAGAGATATGCAGCTATGGCTCAAGGCCAGGTCCCATCCCCTCCATGTGGTTCCAGCTCATCTCTCTGTGTGCTTAAATTAACCCCTTACGGGGTTGATGTTATCTCATCTCAGTCTGTATCATCTCTAGTCCTCCAAACACAAGGTGATCCAAATGGCCAACTTCAGGCTGTTTTGGCATGAGACCCTGGAGTCCAGAGAGGGCATCAGGCAGGCTTTCTGCAGAACCAGCTTTCTCAGGCCTGTGTTCACGAGGCACAGGCTGGGAACATTGGAGCCTTCAGTACAGACTTGTCCAGAAAGAGGGGAGGCGGAGGCCAGCAAGGGCTCTGTCTCCCTTGGGCAGCTTGAGTCTGAGCCCTGGCTCTGTTGCTGAGTAGCTGCATGGACTTGGCCAGGCAATAGATCTCCTCCTAGCTTTTGTTTCCTCGTTTGTAAAATGGGCCCAGAGTGCTTTGTCATCATAAAAGTGCTACACAGGCCAGGTGCAGTGGCTCATATCTGTAATCCCCGCACTTCGGGAGGCTGAGGAGGGCGGATCACGAGGTCAGGAGTTTGAGACTAGCCTGGCCAATATGGTGAAACCTCGTCTCTACTAAAAATACAAAAGTTAGCCAGGCATGGTGGCCTGCTACTTGGGAGGCTGAGGCAGGAGAATCATTTGAACCCAGGAAGCGGAGGTTGCAGTGAGCCAAGATCGTGTACTTGCACTTGAAACTGAGCAACAGAAGGAGACTCTGTCTCAAAAATAAAAATTAAAAAAAAATTAGCTGGGCATGGCTGTGGCATTTGCCTGTAATCTCAACTACTCAGGAAGCTGAGGCAGGAGAATCGTTTGAACCCAGGAGACGGAGGTTGCAGTGAGCCAAGACTGTGCTATTGCATTCCAGCCTGGGCAACAGAGCAAGACGCTGTCTCAAAACAAAACAAAACAAGAAAAGTGCTGCATACATGAGTGGGGTTATTATGAATGTCCCCAAGACTCAGATTCTCTTGTGACCGGACCCCATCAGCTTCTTTGGCTTAACTTCCCAAGATGTTGCCCAGTGACCCCCACTCCTCCGACGGTACTGGGAAGCTCACTAGCTTCACAAACATGCCAGGTAGTCATTTGTCTAAGCATTTGCAATTCTATCTCCTTCCCTGGCATGCACACCTGTGTGGGATCAGTGGAAGGGAAGAGAAAGCCCAAGGGCAATGGCACAGAGTAAGGGCTCTGGTCCCAGGCCGACCTGAGGGGGCTGGCCTCCACCCTGATGTTTACTTTGGGGTGAGCTTGGACCTTGCTTGTCTCCTCTGAGCATCTGTTTCTCACCTATTAAAAAGAGGAACAGCCAGGTGTGGCGGATCACACCTGTAATCCCAGCACTTTGGGAGGCAGAGGTGGGTGGATAAGCTGAGGTCAGGAGTTCGAGACCAGCCTGGCCAACATGGTGAAATCCCGCCTCTATTAAAAATACAAAAATTCACACTGAGATATCATCTCACGCCAGTTAGAAAGGCAATCATTAAAAAATCTGGAGACAACAAATGCTGGAGAGGATGTGGAGAAATAGGAACACTCTTACACAGTTGGTGGGAATATAAATTAGTTCAACCATTGTGGAAGACAGTGTGGCGATTTCTCAATGAACTAGACATAGAAATTCCATTTGACCCAGCAATCCCATTACTGGGTATATACCCAAAGAACTATAAATCATTGTACTATAAAGACACATACACACGTATGTTCATTGCAGCCCTGTGTACAATAGCAAAGACCTGGAACCAACCCAAATGCCCATCAATGATAGACTGGACAAAGAAAATGTGGTACATATACACCATGGAATACTATGCAGCCATAAAAAATGATGAGTTCGTGTCCTTTGTAGGGACTTGGATCTGGAAACCATCATTCTCAGCAAATTGACACAAGAACAGAAAGCCAAACACCGTATGTTCTCACTCATAGGTGGGTGTTGAACAACGAAAACACATGGACTCAGGGAGGGGAGCATCACACACAGGGGACAGTTGGGGGGTAGGGAGGAGACAGTGGTGGGTGGGGAGGGTGGGGAGGGATAACATGGGGAGAAATGCTAGACATAGTATGCACCTAAAGTAAAATAAATAAAATTTTTTTAAAAAGCAATAAAGTTGTGATACATGTGATAATAAAGTTGTAATATAAAAAAAAAATACAAAAATTTGTCTGGCGTGGTGGCTGGCACCTGTAATCCCAGCTACTCGGGAGGCTGAGGCAGGAGAATCACTAGAAACCGGGAGGGGGAGATTGCAGTGAGCCGAGATGGTGCCGTTGCACTCCAGCCTGGGCAACAGAGAGAGACATCATCTCAAAAAAAAAAAAGGTCGGGAGAGGACATTTCACTGAGTTCTCTTAAAGCCAGTGATGCAGTGCTGGAATTTGAACCTGGGACTGCTGGTTCTTTCCCTTGCCCCACTTGTCTGCCCCAGAATGGCTTACATTTGAGCACAGATGGGCTGGGGAGAGGAACAGAAACACCAGAAACAAGGGGATGAGGCTACCAGCATATGGGAGAGGTTACCTCCATCTGGAGGAACCTGGGATGGCTTCCTGGAGGAGTTGGCATTTGGAAGAGTTGGAAAGCAGGGCAAATGTCACCAGATGGGATGTGGGCAGGGGCTTCCTGAGCAAAGGTGAACAGGTGGGGAACTGAAATACCTGAGTCACACGGTGTGAATGGCTGTCCCACATAGGCAGGGAAACTGCTGCCTAAGGGGTGTGTGGTGAGTTGCTAGAGGGGCTCTGCTGGAGCCAGATCTGACCTTCACTCCTCTCCAGTGTCTGCCCCGACCGGGACAGCTGCCCCATCTCCCTTGGGGACTCTTCCCAGGCTCCGGGCTCTGTATCCTACCCCACCTGCATTCCCACATCCCTCAGTGTCATGGTGAGCCTGGCCACAGCCCAGAATGAGTCTCAGGAAACGAGGTTAGAGGTGGCATCCAGTGGCTCGCTAGGCAGATGCTGGGATCAGCTTCCCGCTGTCTGTGTGTGAAGTCAGGGGCACCTGGAAAATATTCCAGAGCTGGGGCCAGAAAAATAGTCCTGGGGGTCTTTAGGGGAGGTGCAGCACAGCCAAAGTCTTTATTAGTCCCCGTACTCCCGGCTCTCCATTCCTCCCACCCATACCAAACCAAGGCTGATGGGGAATTTGGTTTATCAATGGCCCATTCACACTCCCCCAACCACCCCTTCCAAATCTGATTTCATTCTCATCTGTCCTGTGAGGTGCCCTGAGAGGAAGCATCCATCCCACCCTTCCTGCCATACTGCAGTCCCCAGGCTGTGGCTGTGTTCTCCTGGAGTCCCTGTGGCTGCACCTCAGCCAGTGTCTGCATGGCCTATGAAGCTCTCCCTGTGGGATTCCTGGGAGCAAGTTGGGCCTTGCCCAAATGGGTGTGAGGCTCATACAGCCCAGGGGAGGATCGACAGCTGGGAAAGAGGTCAAAGGTGGCTGCTGCAGGCGTCTGACCTGGAGTTCTCCCTGGCCAAAGACTGTTTCTTCTAAAGCACTGCCTTTCCAGGAAATGCTGGGGCAGGTGCTGTTCCCAGAAACACTGCCTTCGCTGCAGGGGGATTCCTTGTCACCCTGCAGGCAGAGCTTCAAGGCCTCTTTCCTCCAGCCTCCTCCCCACTCCATGGTAAACCCATGCAGGTCTCTGCAGGTCACTCTGAATCCCTGGTCTTCTGGGTGGATCTTCTGACTCTGCAGGTATGCCTGTAGCTCTCTGTCACTTGTCCCTGTCTGACTCTCTTTCCTGCTCTGTCTCCTGCCTCTCTGCCTCTCCCAGTCTCTGCTGCAGCCCTCTCTCCGGGTCTGACCTCCCTCCCTTTCCCTGCATTCTGCTGACACCTGTTGATGTTTCGCTCTCCGACCTCCTGTGCACCTATTTGAGTCTGCCTGTCTCTGCACTCTGTCTGACTACACTTTTCTCTTGTTCTCTGTCTATTTCTGTCTTTGTTTCCTTTGAGAGGAGAAACAGGACTCCATGAGGGGGTCAGGGGCCTCTTTCTGTTGTCTTCTAGGTCTCTGTCTCATCGACGAGGTTTGCTGGGTTCCCTGGCTGCAGCTGAGTAAATAGTGTCCCTTCATGCTCCTCTAGCCATTCACTTACTCATTTAACACACCTTCACTGAGCTCCGGCCACGTGCCTGGCTCTGTGCCAACAGCTGTGAGCACCCACCCCACCCACTCTACTTTCCTCTGGGAACATGTCCCCCAGGCTCACTCTCCATGCCCCTTCCTTACTTTGTCCAGACTTACCTATCCTGGGTCCCATGACTGCTAGGGTGCAGTGAGCTCCAGCCCTAATTCAATTTCAGGACCTGGAGCTTAGCAGGGGAGAAGAAGCGAATCTTCTCAGGGGCTCCTGGAGGCAGCAGCTAGTGAGCCACAGCAGGGCTGCAGTAATGGTGAGAACTCCACACACTGGGTCAGTTCTTCTTGGGCCACACAGGACATCGGACTCGTCCAGGCACAGGTTAGGGATTCCTGCTCAAACTCAACCCCAAGTGTCTCCAAGTGTCTGTCTCCCTGGGTCCCTTTCTCTTTCTGTCTCTCCCTTGCTTTGTTTCCACAGCTGTGGAAGGCTGGGTTTGTTCAGGTCCAGCCTCTCTGCGAGGAGGAAGCTGCGCCCCGCCTCCCTGAGGCTCAGCCTTCGCTTGTGCTTTTCCAGCCCCTTGCCTCAGCATTGCCCTTAGGTATTTTATCCTGCTCTGTTAGCAGCAGAGAGGTGGGGGGCAGAGGGGCTGTTGATGGGTCTCCCCAAGCTCCCCAGCCTTCCACCCTCTTCCCCCAAAGTCCTCACTGCCCTTCCCTTTTCCACCTGAGCCTTTCTCCTACAAGCTCTTATTCCCTTTACAGAACTTCTGTCACCCTCCCTTAATAGGAGGATACCATAGAAAGCCCTTGTTCCCCCACTGAGCAGTTGTCCTCTTTCACTGAACCCCTGCCCCCCTCAAGCCTGCATCCCCTCTCACTAAATCCCTCATCTCCTCTCTGAGCGCCAAGAATCCAGAGCAAGGAGGGACTCTGTCCACTAAGCATCCAGTGGCAACCCGCCTGGGTGGAGCTCATGGTAGGAGGTCCATCAGTTTCAGCCATCTAGGCAAGGAGAGGAGGGAAACAGAATGGAAAATGTGAAATTCCCAGAGTTTTCTGGACTGAGGACTGAGGATGGAGGTCCAGGAGCCAGACAGACCTGGGTCCCATCTCAGTTGTCATTTGCTGCTCAAGTTATCTCAGGCAAGTCCCAGCATCTCCCTGAGCGTCAGTTCTCTCATCTACAAAGAAGGGACACTAATCCTCCCTTGCAGAGCCACTGTGAAGGTTCAGTGAAGGAGAAAGAAGCCAAGCCTGGAGGCTGGAGTGCAGAGAAGGGAGTGGCAGAGGTGGGGCTCAGAACAGGGCAGCAAGGGAAAGCAAATCCACTTTGCCTTTCCCAGCTTGCACAGCACTTTCACACGCAAGGCCCCACTGGGTCCTCCCATTGACGCTGTAAGATCAGGTTATTTATTTCGCGATTTTACAAATGAGGCGTTTAGCCTCAGTAACTTGCCAGAGATCACCCAGCTAGTAGGTGGTGGATGCCTTGAACCTCTGATGCTAGAATCAGGCTTTTCCCTCCACCCAGACTGTCTTCTCTGAGGAATATCTCTGAGTTTCCCCAAATCTAAAATGCAGAAGTGAACCTTAAGGTCAGGTTATTTATTTGCTGATTTTACAAATGAGACATTCAGTCTGAGTAACTTGCCAGAGATCATCCAGCTAGTAGGTGGTGGGTGCCTTGAACCTCTGATGCTAGAACCTCCACCCAGGCCTGAGAAAGATCTCTGTGTTTCCCCAAATCCAAGAAGCAGAAGCGAACCTGACCCCGTCCCTGGAATAAGGTCTTTACCTGGAATGAGGATGTGGGTTTGCACACTTTCAGGGTGCAATCACAGAGAAACATACATCCACTCCACTTGGCTCCTACTTGCTGTTTGAGGGTGCTAGTAGGAACTAGGGGATGTGTGAAATAATCACAGATCTCCCTGGCACTCAGGAGGCACTCAACAGATACTTGTTACATGAATGAATGAGGCTTTGAGAAACCAGAAATGTGAGTGAGGAAGGTCAAGAGTTGGCTTAGATTGATAGAAAGACCAGATCCTGATGGGTTTGACTCAGGGTCTGACCTGATTAGACCCTGCTTAAGAAAAGCAAATTGGATCTCTCTTTCCAAATCCTTCTGACCAAAGTCAGCACCGTGAATCTTCACAGGGATCAGCAGAGGTGCAACCTTCCCGGTTCCAAATTACAAGTATGAAGACCCTTTTAAACTTTCTGGAAGCCCAGTTACGCACATCTTGGCCCCAGAGACTGAAGAGGTTCTATGCATGGAACGGTCTCAGCAGGGGGATCAGCTCAGCTGGCCAAGTTTATGTCATCTTTTTGTTTTTGTTCATTTGCTTTTGAGACAGAGTCTCTCTCTGTCTCCCAGGCTGGAGTGCAGTGGCCATCTCGGCTCACTGCAACCCTGGCCTCCCAGGTTCAAGTGATTCTCGTACCTCAGCCTCCCAAGTAGCTGGGATTACAGGAACATGCCACCACACGTATTTTTAGTAGAGATGGGGTTTTACCATGGTGGCCAGGCTATTCTCGAATTCCTGGCCTCAAGTGATCTGCCCACCTTGGCCTCCCAAAGTGCTGGGATTACAGGTGTGAGCCACCACACCTGGATTATCTCATTGATCTTTGAGTCAAGCAATGCACAATACCTCCCAGGCCATGGTATATATAGTACCCTCTGGTATGAGCAGCTTTAGTTTATTACCTCAACTTCCCTAGGCTGGCAAAGCCTGGTCCAAGAATATTCCTGAGCTTGAGCTGTGAAACCGGAACAAGGGTCAGGTACCCAGGAGCCTCTGAGACTTAGGCTAACATGCCTTCTGACCAGCTCCCTGGCTAACCCATAGTCAGCTCCTGCTATGAGTGGCCCAAGTCTGAGGTCTGACCACACTGGTTTGCACCCGGGCTTTCCCACTTGCCAGTATGTGGTGTTTCCTGTGTCTCATGCAAGTATTACATGAAGGTGCATTTTACAGAGCACCATGTGTGTGGATCACAACACCATCTGTGGATTCCCACAGTTTACAAAACTTGATGCCTTTTTTAGAGTCCTGTGCTATTGGCAAAGCCCAGCGCAATCTGTAAAACTCTGCAGCCTCCAGGGCCTCATAATAGTCACAGAGCCCTGTGTCTTAGCATGCTAAGAATGATGCTGTTCATAAAACCCTGCGCTGTTTGCAGAGCATAGCCCTGCCCTTCCTTAAGTCAATCCACTTAGGAAAATGTCTTTTAGTAAACCAGAAAAAATAGGAGACTCTTCATTTTATAGAACTATCTGCTTTGGGGTACAAAGGAAGAGTGCTGGGCTCCAGGTTAAAGAGCTCAATGCTGGTTTCGGCGCTGTCATAATCCTGCTGTAGGACTTTGGGCAGATCCTTTGCCCTCTCTGGATCTCCGTCTTCCCATCTGTAAAACGGAGATGGTGACAACCAACCACCCACCTCAGGCCTATCCTGAGGATCACAGTGAGATTGCCCAGCAGACAGGGCGTGGGGGGGATGAGAAGGGGAAGAGTGGCCAGAGGCTTCTTCCTGAAAAAGGCTCCAAACTGCTGCCTCAGCATCTTCGTTCCCACTTCCCTCCTGGCCTGGCAGCCAGGAAGGGGATATCTATAAATGAGCCACGGGCCAGGCAGACAAATGAGGACCTCAGCCAGAGCCTTGGCCTTCCCTGGCCGCCAGACGCTGCCTTGGAGTCAGACCCTCACTGTGCAGACACACTCCCGTGTATGGCCCGTTAACTCTGCCCAAGGAAGACACTGTCTTCCTTATTTCACCCATGAGAACACTGCTGTTCAGAGAGGCCTCCTGTCTTGCCGGAGGCTACATGTCAAGTATGTGGCAGGGGCTGGGATCTGAGCCAAGGACAAGAAGGATGGATACCTGGTATCAGAGGTCAGAGTGGGAAGGAATGTGGAGCTCATTTAATTCAACCTTTTCTTTTTTCAGATTGGGAGACTGAGGTCAGGAGAGTGTGGAGACCATGGGGGAGTCACTGTTTATCTCTCCCTAGATAAACAGGCTTCGGTTTCTCTAGCTGAAGAAACTGAAGTTGTTAAGAAACAGGCCCCATCCTGGCAAGCATTCAGGGCTTCCCCTGTCTTTATTGGCCCAGCTTCTCCATCAAGACACAGCTCATCTCCTAACTGCTAGGAGAGGAACAGATGTGCAGGCGGGGTGGGTGTCCAGGTTGCACAGCCACCTAACCTCAACACAGCCCCTGGCTCTTCCAGCGCCCTAGCCTTGTATAGCCCCTGCTGTGCTCCCTGCAGCAGCTTAAACCCCACCCGGAGGTTTCTCCCTACCTCCAACCACTCCCTTGGGAAGTTGCCTCCCCAGCTCCCATGTCGAGGCTCTTTTGCCCTGCAGCAGCCTTCCCCTGGTTCCAACTGCCTCCATCTCCTAGCATCCCTCCCTGAAAGTGACAGCTCTATGTCCCAGAAAGAGCATGAGTTTGGGTGTCAGTTTAATTCTAACCCAGTACAAAGCTCTAATCCAGTACAAAGCTCTCAGAGACTGTTTCTTCATCTGTAGAATAGAGATCAAAAGTGATAACTGAAAAATCATGAGAGCTATGATTTGGAGATAAGACTTTCTTTTTTCTTGCCCATGCTGGAGTGCAATGGCATGATCTCAGCTCACCACTACCTCCACCTCCCAATTCAAGCAATTCTTCTGCCTCAGCCTCCTGAGTAGCTCCAGCTGGGATTACAGGCATGCACCACCACGTCTGGTTAATTTTGTGATTTTAGGAGAGACGGGTTTCTCCATGTTGGTCAGGCTGGTCTCGAACTCCTGATGTCAGGTGATCCACCCGCCTCAGCCTCCCAAAGTGCTGGGATTATAGGTTTAAGACTTTATTTCTTTTAAATGGTTACAGCCTACAAGGTGGCCATTCTGATGGGCTGGGGAGCTCAGTCTTTGGCAGAGTCCGGAAACAGACACTTCAAGGGAGGAGGGATTGGAAAGAAATTTAAGTTGAACGGGTTGACCAAATATACATATGCAACAGGTTATAGGAGGAACTATGATTATTCATGAGGTGGTCCTAATGCATGCATATTGAACAAATATGCAAGTTACATATGACCCATGTTCACCTTGGGCTGGAGACTTTACATTTAAATGCATTACAACTAGGCCCAGTACATCAAAAGGTGAAGCAAGGACATGAAGACCTCAATGCACAGTGTCTATAAATAGGCCAGAACCCATCCATGATCAGTGGTCTCTTATCAGAAAAAATTCCTGAAATCAGTCTCTAGTCCAATCAGAGCTGTAGTTGTGGCTGGTGGAACGGGGATCAGTTAGTGTCTGGCAGTGGAGGAGCGGCAGATTGTTTCAACGTTGCTTATCTCAAGGCCAGGGCTTATTTAGCTACTAGAGAAAAAGAGAATCATTGTGGCCGTGAGAACATAGTTTATTCTTTTAAGTGTATGGGTGAGGGACTTAACACTTGCCTGGCATGACCCTAGGTCTTGTTTCTTTTTAGAGAGAGTCTCGCTCTGTATTCCAGGCTGGAGTGCAGTGGTGTGATCTCGGCTAACTGCAACCTCCGCCTCCCAGGTTCAAGCGATTCTCCTGCCTCAGCCTCTTGAGTAGCTGGTACTTCAGGCGCAGGCCACCACGCCCAGCTAATTTTTTGTATTTTTAGTAGAGACGAGGTTTCATTATGTTAGCCAGGATGGTTTTGATCTCCTGACTTCAAGATCGGACCCACTCAGCCTCCCAAAGTGCTGGGATTACAGGCGTGAACCACCAGGCCTGGCCAGGTTTTGTTTACAGTTTGGCATCTTATTGCCACAAACAGCCCATCCTGCAGGTCTTACGATCTCTGTTTTAACATGAATGCTGCTCAGGTGTAGTGTCTAAGCCACAAAAG